CCATCCATCCATCCATCCATCCATCCATCCATCCATCCATCCATCCATCCATCCATCCATCCATCCATTTTACCCGCTTCTCCCTCTCATGGTCACAGCACTGCCCATACCAAACAGTATGTTAGGAATATGTGGGGCTGTTTGTTTATGATAAAGGCAGCAGCGCAGCATGCATTAACTTTGTAGAACAGGCTTGAATAAATTTCTTTTCTGGAAAAATATTTAATCTCCAAGAGCCCTGCAGGTAATTAACCTCATTAGTAGTAAAATCTTAACAAATTTTAAACCACTTCTTATTATCGTGTGCTGCCGTGAAAGATGGGCAACCAYAATAGCCTCTGTCTGTGTTCATTTATCTGTTCGTCTAAAGAAGCAGTGAGTGAATTTTGATCAAACGCTCAGACAGCGTTCAGTGGATGTAGGTTTACAACTAATTAACTTCTGGAGTYGACCCGATTCAGCATCACTGCCACAGCTAACTGAATTTAGCAAACACAAAAATGGTTGTAACCGAGTCGATTTTACAGATACTGAGCTAAAACCTGTCGTGGGAGCTGAGAATTATCTTCAACACACAACCAGAAGTCTAACAGATTGTGCAAAATCTTTGTTTAAAACATGTAACAGCATGTAAGGTGGTGGCATTTCTTAAAGAAAAGCTAGTTTTATTCCATTTAAGGAACCCCTGATTGAATTAAAGCTATAATTAAAAACTAATTGAAATGTAATTGATGGGTTTATGTGTTKCTGACCATGCAAATCAAAAAATAGCTGCAACGCCTAACCTAATTTATTTTTTACCTATTTTAGATGTCAATGGTCAAAATGACCATTCAAATATTTGTAGTGACTTTTTATGTTTTTCTCCCCAAGATGTTGGATTCAGATATTAAGATTGTTCATCAGACGTTTTGTCACTTTTACCCTCATGTCTCAGTTAGTAAAGCTTTTATTTTTATTGTAGGTATCTAAGGATAAATCTATATTAAGAAAAAAATGCTACAATTTCAAAACTCTTATTTTATTTTTATATATTTAAAATGAAAAATAAATGAATATCTAAGTGTGGATTTAAATATTCTAATATAGCATGATCAGAAAACACAATTTGTGACACAAATAATGAGCTTTCTAAATATTATCAGATCTTGCCTGTCACAATTTCAACAAGACAACAAATGTTTGGATGTATATGTAGAATTATGTTGTGCATCAAAACCACTACAACGGTTTGTGGACAGCGGCGTGGCGTACCTGTACAAGTGTCGGCTCTGTCTCGAGTCTTCTGTGCTCAGAAAATAGCTGGTGAGGAGACACAGACACACCAAGTTAACTCAGCTCTGTCCTGACACCATCGGTTTCTGTTTACAGCCTTCAGCCCTTCAAGAAGCTCAGTTTTGTAGCAGCATCTCTGATTGTAAATCCAGATGTTTTTTCACTGTGGCTCACTACATCAGTCCTGTTGAATTTCCTCCTCTRTATGAATGTGAGAGCAGTACAGAAGAGGAATCACTTGTCTGGAGGCAAAAAGCAGTGTCAGCCTGAGGGGCTGTGGTGCTGAAAGAGAACTGTCTAGATTTACAGCAGGACTTTCTTTGCTTGGTCCATGTGGGATTTATGCTCCCTGCAGGATGAAGACAGGTTTAGGTAATAATCTGCTCTTCTTAACTAATCCTCAGGTAATCCTTTGTCCTGCTTTAAATCATTGCTTTCACTGCTTCAGTCTGAGCTAMTTTGACCTGTTGCTTAAAATCAGCCGCTAAAATGTTTCATTTTCGCTCACAAACTAAACCAGGGAATGTTCTCTGCGATGATGATTTTAATAATAAAAACCAGGCGCCTCCACCCTCACTGCCTCCAGCTATGAACGCACACAGGGTGATCGGAGGAGGCTCTTCGTATTTTGTGGCTCTCACGTACATTTTCCCAGCCTTCTCGTCTAAGGCGCACAGCGAGGTGACATCCCAGCTCCCCGATGTCAAGAAGCGAGGAGGGATGGAAGGGATGGCAGGCTGCGTTACACAGAGACACAGAGAAGAAGAGCGTGAAACGTCCACATACACAGAATAAAAATAGGTACAGGAAAACAGCAAGTTCCTGTCGGAGGATGGCAACCAAAACGAGAGGGTGAGAGATTTAATCAACACGCCGGTGATTCAGAAAAAAAAAATTAATTTTAATATAGATATCAATTTTTTTATATAACAAAAAGTGACAGTAAAAACTGCAAATGTGCAGCTCAAACCGAAGCCCCACAGATATTTTTGGCTTAAAARAGTCAAATATATTCCTGTTTCCTCATTCCTTAAAAATACATTCCTTCCTGTTTCCTAAAAAAGGATCCCACTGTCAGAATGAGGATTATTATCACTTYTGAATGATAATTACAGTTTAGAATAACTTCAAAAAAACTAAAAGTAAGAGAAGCAATTTTGTTTTATTCAAACATTTTCATTATATAAACTGAGTTTCATTGAAATATCCTTTTATTGACTTCGCTGCAATCATATATAT